ATCACACTTTTAGATCAAATCTGGCCGAAGCGTCACCATTCTGGCCAATTCACCGAAGTGGCTCGGCCTTGGCCGGGCCACCAAATGGTGGCTCGGCCCGTGGCCGAGCCACTGGTCTGGCCGGGTCGCTTTGGCGCAACTCGGTCGCCAGGGCCTTTATCGGTTTTTCCAGGTTTTGACTTATTCCGTCGTTACGCGTATTTTGTCGTTTCGTTGATTTGTACACTTCCCCGATTTGTTTCGCAAACGCATGGATAGCTTGACTGTGGCCGGCGGGCGTGCATGCCACTTGGTTCGTCGATTTGGTGACCAATGAGCTTGCGGGCCACTTGGTGGTGGCCGGTGAGCACGCGGGCCACTTGGTTCACCGATTTGGTGGCCGATGAGTGTGCGAGCCACTTGGTGGTGGCCGGTGAGCACGCGGGCCACTTGGTTCGCCGATTTGGTGGCCGATGGGTGTGCGGACTACTAGGTGGTGGCCGTTGAGCACGCGGGCCACTTAGTGGTGGCCGGTGAGTGCACGGGCCACTTGGAGGTGGTCGGTGAGTGTACGGGCCACTTGGAGGTGGCCGGTGAGTGCACAGGCTATTCGGTTCGCCGTTTCGCTTCATGTGTTCATCGGCGTCGGATAATCCTCTTAGACTTAGATAATGGTGTTCATCACCTTCTCTCTGTCTCGAGCTGTGTGTGGATACCTGTAGGAATTTTTAGACGCCTATAATTTTCTAACTAAAATTTGTTCCTCAGTTCCACTTTAATAGCTTATGATCACTTTTGTCTCTAAACTTTAATATTGCGATTATTTATTTTCTTTGACGTTTGTTTAAATGGGCTACACCCAGTTTAAAATTTCATATTGATATTTGAATTGATAAAAAATAAATATAATTTGAAGCTAATTTAAAATTTTATATTATTTTGACTGACATGATATCAAGCTTTACTTGAAAAAGTATAGTGTTGCAAAAGTAAAAAATATTAAAATATATAACGTTATACAATAAAGATGAATATTTAAAACCAATAAGTCAAGATGATTGGTTAAAAGTATACTAAAACGATACAAAAAAAATATGAAGTTTGTTCCTAATCATTGATAGACTTTATAAGAAACTATAAATTAAATATTAATACTAACTCTAGTATACTTTCATACGATAAAAGCATCTGTACAAGCATATAAAAATACTGAAATAAGCTCATAAAAATCCCTTCTAAAGATTCCTAAATTCACTCAAAATAATTAAACTATTCTATAAAATATTCAGCAAATATTTCTTTTTTCTGTTTTATTTTTTTCATTTCTCACCTTTATCTTTTTCACGGAAAATTCTGGAGTAGTGTCTTCATCATCTACTCGATTGTGACATCAGACTAGAGTTGTATTTTTTACGTTGTTATCTTTTTGGGGCTCGTTAATCTTTTATCTTATCATTTAACTTCACAAAGAAGTTAAATGTATTTCTGATGCTCAACACAAACTTCTTAAAATATAGACTTTGATTTTTTTTATTTCAATGAGAATAAATATTAATCTCATTTAATATGAAATTCTTTGTGTTTCTAATTTATTATTTAAATAAGATTAGGAGTTATCTCTTTTTCTCTACAATGAATTCTTCCGATGTGCATCCAATAAGAGTTTTTGTTACGTCAATATTATTACATTTGCTCTAGTCCTGATATTTTTCACAAAGATCTAAACTAAATACCTGTATTTTTATTGCTAATTTGCCTTAGATTATAATATTAATATTTAATTTCTTTAGTATTTGAAGAGCAATGTTTGAAATTTATGAATGCTTACTAATTTTTCTTATATCTTTTATAGAGAATTCTCCTTTGATTAGGATAAAGTTATTAAATTATTCTTTAATGTAACTCAGTTTGTGCTTCTTTAATAGACATGTCTTATGTTAATGGCAATTCAAATGGTTTATGGACGTTTTCTGAATTTTATTTATTTTCGTTACTTTCCCATTTGTAATGGAAGTAGCTTGATTCTTTTGAAGGATATCTCTGAACATTCTAATAGTATCTCCATACGTAATTCATTATATTCTTTTACTCTATAAATATTAGTAACATTAGATATTAATGTTTCTAAATTATTATCAATTAATACTAAGCTATTATATTATCGTATTTTATCATTTTTATGGATTTAAACTTGTATCAATTAATGATACTAATGTGTTTTGCTGTTCCAACTTATTAGTAAAATTTTATGCAATTGTTTTAATTTATAAGATAATGATAATTTTTAAGCTATAATATTTTTTAAATTTTTATTCCCTAATCGGATATTTTTAATTAATTTTTATTGTTTTTGTTTACTAGTATCAATTTAGACTATTTTTAGACTATTAATGAAAGAATACCTAACAACTACACTTTTCTTTGCTAAGTTTTAAAAATTCGGTCTTTTTTATGGTTTTAAACTTTGAGGGCATGATTTGTAATTTTTAAAACTTTAGGAGCATTTTAAAAAAATTACTTTTAAGTTTGTTAATTGAACTTCTATGTTTCATGTGTCGGTGGTAATTTTTAAATATCACGATATTTCTTACAACTCTGAAAATTTGAGGCTGCTCTTTGCAATTGTTAAAACCGTAGATTAATTTTTTAAAAATTTAAATTTTAGCGGTCTACCAATAGTTTTCAGATTTGATGTGTACTAGTTATAAATTTTAAAAATTTAGAGTTTTTTATGATTTTTAAATTTTAAAAGAGTTTTTTCTATAACTTTGTAACTTTGAGGTTAATTTCAGAAAATTTTAAATTTTTAGGTGTATGAGGGTAATCTCTTTAATTCATCTTTTAGTATTTGTAAATTTTAAAATTTTAAAAATTTCAGGGTTATTTTTTATAATTTAAACTTTTGAGTGTGTTTTTATAATTTTTGGGACATTAAGGGTGTTAATTAAAAAATTTAAATTCTTAGGAGACTAGTATTAATTTCTTGATTTTATGTTTGTTGTTTTAATGTTTGATATGTCAGAAATTTTTTAGGTGCGTTATGGTAATTCCTTGAATTCATCTATGTTGTTTACAAGTTTTGAAAATTTAGAATTTCAGGTGATTGTTTGTAATTTAAACTTTTGAGGGTGTTTCTATAATTTTTGAGATATTGAGATGTTAACCACAGATTTCAAATTCTTTGCAAACTGTTGTTAATTTCTTGATTTCATATTTGATGTTTTAAGTTTTTAGACATCGAGATAGTTTTTATAATTTTGAACTTTTTAGGGTATTTTATGTAATTTTAAAACTTTTTAGGTTTTTTATAATACTTTATGTATTATAGTACGTTAGCTACATATAATTTCTTTATCTTAACAAACTAATACAAGATATTTTATATATTTTATTAATATTATTTTTTTAAATAGTTAAGCTATAAATAGTTCACATAGTGTTAAGATATATAATTATGATTAGGATAAATTAAGATATAAAATAGAAATATTTAAAATAGTGAAGAACAATATTGACCATAAAAAGATTTTCCCGAACTCATGCTTTTAAAGGGAGTATTATTTTGGGATAGGCTAAATACCCATATTGGTATTTTAATTCAACCCCATTTGTCAAGAAGGTATTTTAAATAAAAAAATCGGCGTTAAGACATTTTAATTGATTAAAATTACCAATTAGGTCCTTTTTCTCGTCGGCGACCACTTTTCCTGCGAGAACTCGTCACGTGCGTGACACGTGATGACTTAATCTGTGTTTTAGCTGATGATGTGGCTCGGTTTGCTGATGTGGCTCGGTTTTAGCTGCTGATGTGGCTTAATCACAATTTAAGTCCAAAACGAGCCAACCTGAACCCTAAAAATTTCAAAACAAAGATCAAACTTCCACGCATTCACTCCAGATCTCAGATCCAACTCAATTATCTTACCTTTACAGCTAATAGAAGCAGCCAAAACCCCCGATTCCAGGAACTTCTAGAAGAAAACGCCATGGGAATTCGGAGAGAAGAGAGTGAGAAGACGAAGATCCCTGCAGACTAGATTGCCGCCGGCGCGGCCATGGATCGATGCAAGAGAAAGAGGTTCTATTTATACGGTAATTTCTCCACTAATTTTTCGCTAATTTTTTTACCAATTTTAGAAATGGGGGATTTTAAAATGCATCGACTCTTATTCTTCCTACCACTGCCACGTCAGAAAACCGGTTGAATTAAAATGCACGTGACGAGTTCTCGCCGGAAAAGTGGTCGCCGACGAGAAAAAGGACCTAATTGGTAATTTTAATCAATTAAAATGCCTTAACACCGATTTTTTTATTTAAAATACCTTCTTGACAAATGGGGTTGAATTAAAATACCAATATAGGTATTTAGCCTTTTGGGATAAGTAATCCTATAATTTGTATTTTGTTTATTTTAAACTCATGCTTTTAAAGGGAGTATTATTTTGGGATAAGTAATGCTTTACAAATTTTTGAATTTGAAATCTAGCATAAATCCTCTCTCAAATGGAGAATTTCACAAATACTACAATATATTATTTTTTATTATTTGGATATTCAACATCCCAAAATTTATTTAAATATTATGAAATCCATAAACTCAAAAAAAAAACCCTACTTTTTCATTCTAGAATTTGTAATCCACCCTACATCCAAAAAAAAAATTGAAACAATTATCATAGTAACCCTTGTTTAATTATAGAGTTTTGCTACAGGGACCCAAAATATGGGACCAATAAAGGGGACAAGTGAGGTGTCCCCCTCCTATTGGATAATGAGTTTGCCATCATTAATGATGGCCAACTCATTATCCAATAGGAGGGGGACACCTCACTTGTCCCCCCTATTGGTCCCATATTTTGGGTCTATAAAGAAATTTTCTTAATTATAGGGCCCACTTGAGTATCCAAGATAAACTAGGGGATTAATTAATTTACTAGCAAACAGCATAAATTTCTGTGTGTAAACGAAACATAAAAGCAGAGCGCCAGAACAAAATTGCATTAAGCAACCCTCATCACTCAAACATCTGTTGGCGCGAACCCTCGCATTCAAAATAACATAAGATCACAAAAGAGACACCAAAATTTATTTCAAGACAAATACTTCCCATTGCAAGTTTCTACAATAGCACGCCAACAACAAACATATATAGGGGGGCAAAAAAGATTAGGAGCACGTTTATTGTAATTAATGAATCTAACGATCGATCGATCGACAAGCTTGAGTGACCTAGCTCTTTGCTCTAATCTCGGAAGAGAGGGTGGTAACGAACTCCGGCGGCTATCATTCTCTGCTGCTCAATCTGCGTGCGCATCATAAATTTAATTGTGTTTGCTTAAAACAATCACAAGTTTTGTAATCACGAGGAATTAATTGAATTGACAGCAGCCAAATTAAAGTACCCGAAGGATCTCATGAAGTTTGTTCTTGAGGTAGCAGTACTCATGCTCTAAGACTGCTAGAGAACGCACGCACCTGTTTAATTTGCACAGAAACAAGATGCTCCTTTCTTAAGGATTAATTAATTTTTAAGGTAAAGCAATTACATCCAAGCAAAAGAAAGAAATTGGGCAATGAGGAAACTTTTTTTTAAGTTTCTTTTTTTTTTATATAAACATTAGTCTTGTAAGCATATATATACACACTCCTTCAAGAGGAGAGGTTTTATGCACATACATACCCGGCCCAGTTTCCATGCTCGGAAGCGGCGCGGAAAGCGACGCAGACGGCTCGCATCCGCTTGGGCTGGAGCTGCTGCCCATCAGCTGGTTTACGTGAACCTCCACCCTCCCGTAGTCCGCCCACTGATCCCTACCAGCTCTGTACAAAAAATTAAGTGACGACCCGTGCGTGCGTGCATATATATATCAGGCGAAGAAATTTTCTAAATAAATTCACTCATATTTTTTCTAAAAATAGAACCCCCTGAATTTTATTTACAAAAATCGGTCCATTTTATCTTAATCTGGTTCCTAAATAGTCGGGGTTGCCAACCCTGACCATTTAGGAGGTTGTAAACCCCAAATTATAACCTTAAACCCTAACATTCTATGTACTAAATAGTCGGGGTTGGCAACCCCGACTATTTAGAAATTGGATTAAGACAAAATGGGCCGATTTTTGTAAAAAAATCTCAAAGGGGTCTTTTTTTTTTTAATTATGAACAGGTTTGTTTAGAAAATTTCTTCTATATCAGGCTCGTACGTAGCTAGATATGCAGTTAAACTAAAACTCACAGTAGGAGGGCTCTGATGCCCTTCAGATGCCTCTCCGACTCCTGGAAGTAGATGGAAATGACCTCCGACACGAAGTTCGGCGAC